CGATCTTTCTACCATCTGAGGAAAGACAGTAGATTGTATAGAGTGATCTTCCAATGATGGGTGTGACCCTAGAACTATACAATCTACTACCTTATCCTACAGTGAAAAGAACTAGGGTGAATATTGAAACCACAGCTGAGCACCACAGGAAGGCTTTATTCTCAGTAATCTTGGTTCTTATGAGATTACAACAATCACATCTAAGTCTTCACTTTCTAGTTCTGGTGCAATTTTCTCATATTTGATATGAGGCTGGGAGTTTCAGGAACATTTTTAGTTGATTAGCTGAACACACTTTCTCTTTACAAAGGAGCATGTTGTTTCCCTCCACTTTTCAGACTGAAAAATTCTTCAGTCTCCATTCAACAGTCTTTTCAATGGATTTTCTGGGTGTACAGAACCTCAGGCTCCAGGAGAGGGGCCCTCACCACTTCCGCTGAGATCCCCTGGCTAGCAAGCCCCCCATGCCAACCAGCACAGCTGCCCAGAGAGAAGCGCAAGGACCAGGATGGAGGCAGGAGAAGGCTCAACCTCCTTATTTCTTTTTTGATACTAGCTTCTGAGGCTTTTTTCTTTTCTTTTCTGCGTTATATATTCCTTACCTCACTTTAAGTCCCTTCACTCTTAGACTATTGATAATATAATTACCTTAAATATTATAACTGCATTTGCAGAGAACTATATCAAACTAACCACTTAAGATAGTCCAGCTTCCCCATTTATCATTTTCTTTTTGTCTTGGAACTTCTAGCTTTATTTTAGACTCTCTGATTTGAAGTCCCTGAGTCTATAATCATGCTACAAGAGGTCTTCAAAAGTTTATGGGAGGGACCAGCAGTTAGCATAATGGCTACGTCGCTGGATTCCCACGTAGTCGACCACGGTTCGCGTCCCAGACCCGGTGGCTTAAAACTCACGCCGGGCGTGTGTGTGTGCATGCCCAAGATCCCGAGAGGAGAATGGAGTAGGGATTGTGGCGTGGCCATACCCCCTGGGGGGGTGATTTCTCGTTTTCTCTCTCTCTGTCTCTCTCTCTGTCTGTCTGGTGAGCACACGCACCCTATAGCAAAAAAAAAAAAAAAAGTTTAGGGAAATGTATATTGTGAAAAAACTGTACTTGGATTTCAAAGTGTTTTGCACCAAAATAACATCACACTTTAATTCCAATTTTCACAAACTTTAGAGTCCTCTCATATGTGTTGAATCTGTTGGCTTTCATTTGTAGTGGGTTGATTGCTCACGTGTTTGTAATTTTTTTTATTGTGAACTTTTATTCAGTAAGGCATTAAACAAGAACGGTGAATGTCCTGGTGTGACCTGGTGTGACCTTCTCCACTAGAAAGGTTTTGTATTTATTGCTACAAAGAGCTTCTTTAGGGACCAGCAGTTAGCATAATGGCTATGTGTCATTGGACTCCCACGTAGTCGACCGCGGTTCGCGTCCCAGACCCAGTGGCTTAAACTCACGCCAGGCACGTGTGTGTGCGTGCCCAAGATCCCAAGAGGAGAATGGAGGAGAAGGATTGTGGCGTGGCCATCCTCCCTGGGGGGTGGGGGTGATTTCTCGCTTTCTGTCTCTCTGTCTCTCTCTGTCTGGCAAGCGCACGCGCCCTATAGTGAAAACCTCTCAAAAAAAAAAAAATCTATCTAACTGAGCCTGCTGTTCTTTGAAGGTTCTAGTTTTATGCTAGAATATCACTCCCAACTTTGGGCTCAAAATCTTGATCCCATTTCCTTTGTGGCTACGGCAGACATCCACAACTTTTAACCAGGGCTGCCATCTTATTACCTCACATGCTCACAGCTCTGGTCTGCATTTTCTTTTTTATTTCAAATTACCAGAGATTTCATTTGTATTTCTGGAAACATCACTCTTCTACTCTACCTTTACATATGTATGTATGTATGTGTGTGTGTGTGTATGTGCGTGTGTATATATATATATATGTGTATGTGTGTGTGTATGTGTGTGTGTGTGTATATATATACATATATATATATAGGCACTGAACAGTTGACAGGAATACTGGTTTGTATAAATTGGACTTGTCAAAGAGTGGACTTCACATGGTATGATTAGATAGCTGGGTACTCCCAAATGACTGTCAAGTCACTTCTTCAGTGGCATGCTATGTTTCCTCCAGTCTCCTACCTACAGTGTATATCCCTGGTTCTCAGTGCTTTCGCTTTGGATAAGAAAAACGGCCAGTCACTGCATATGTTTTCACTTAATTTTCCATTCAACATCATACCCCAGTCTCTTTCGTGTCCTGTGTCACCACTTTAAATTTTTTCTGTTTTGATTTCTCTAGAAAACATACTTTTACTAAGTTTGTTTATTTTATTTATAATAGAAAGCACATATGAGGGGGTGGGGAGGTAGGAGCAGACACATTGTTTTTAATTTGGCCAGAGAGAGAAGAAAAGGGAAAGTGAGAAAGAAGTTGCCAGGTCCAGGACTTGAGCCATTGTCAGCCATGTTGGAATCCAGTGCCTTAGGCATCACGCCACTTGCTGGCCCCAGGAATAGACACTTTTGACAGGATCTTGTCAGTAGCACCATCCACTTTCCCTAACCCTCTAGCTCACCCGAATTTTGGACCTGTGTATGCACCTGGCATGTTTCAGGTTGACTGAATCAAAGATCCAAACCTAGTCAGCCATGTGACTTCTAGCACCGTAGTTCATTATGCTATTGACTGTGCCACCAAGCCTGGGCCTAGAAAACATATTTCTCTGGGGATGTAGGAGGGGTTATTATCTAAAAGTAGGCTAATGCACAAAGAGTTTAAACTCTTCACTGACATTTTCATAAGGTCTCTCTGTTATCTTGACACCATTTCTTCACCTTCATTCCCACTTTCTATTCTCCACAGTGATCCCAGAGCCTGCCCAAGGCTTCTGTGAAGCTAATAAACTGATATCCCACCCCTCCATGCTAGCTGGTTAGGTCTGACTTTCCTGATCAGCTAAGTCAGTTATCATTCCTCTCTGTTTTCATCTTCATTTAATTGCTCAAGTTACAGATAGTGTCACCAAAGATAAAGTTGGCCATTCCTCTTTGGTGGTCTCCTTGTTGTAGAGGTAACTGTGACAGAGGAGAAATGGGATTCCAGGATCTTTTTTTTTTTTTTTTTTTGAGAGGTTTTGCTATAGGGCGCATGCACTCGCCAGACAGAGAGAGACAGAGAGACAGAAAACGAGAAATCACACCAGGGGAGATGCCCATGCTGCAATCCCTTCTCCTCCATTCTCCTCTTGGGATCTTGGCCATGCATGCACACGCGCCCGGCGTGAGTTTAAGCCACCGGGTCCAGGACTCAAACTGCGGTCAACTACGTGAGAGTCCAGAGACATAGTTATTACGCTAACTGCTGGTCCCGGGATTCCAGGATCTTCACCAACATTTTGCTTCAACGAAGTTTTGTCAATAGAAAAGAACATTAGTTGATAAATAGAAGATAGTTAAAATAACTTCTCCTGCACTTGTAACTCCTCAAATAAACCATGAGTGTGTTCTTGTATTATAGGTCAAATAAAAAATAAATACATAGTTTTAAGGAGAAACTATACAAAGGATTATTGAAGAGGAGGAAAGGGACTATTGCAATGGGCAGAACATTAAGATCTACAATGGCCCTTTAGATCTACACATCTCAAAAATCAGTCAGAAAAGGACTTTTATATGAAGAGTAATAAGGCTGGGAAGAAATAGTTGTCAGGAAGTGAAAAGAATGGGTGAAAGTGTCTTTACTGAATATATGACCAAAGAATGTTTTATCTTGAGGTCAGCTGATGATGGGAAGGAGCTGAAATACTAAGGATATTAAGAATTGATAAAAGTTGAAGGGCCTGAAGAAAGGAGAAATATTTAACCAGAGTTTGGCCAATTTATGGTTGCAGGTAATTTGTCCAGATTAGTTGGTGGGAACAAATATTAGGCTGTTGAGCAAGTCATGATGTATTTTTCTGTTTTTCTACGCAAAAATGTGTCCTAACTTTTCCAGCAACCCAACAGTTCAGTTCATTATTTGTTAGGCATAGCACTGAGTCTTTCCTAAGTCCTAGGGAAAATAATGGCTTTCACAGTGAGCCATTTCTGGAACACAGTGAGGTGGTGAGATTCATTTAACTGTCACTATTTTCCAGGATCACAGAGCTCAGGTAAACTCCAACATCGTCAATATATTCTCCCTCCTCTCTATTCCGTCCTTGACCCAATGGGCCTCTGCATGGAATCATTTGAATTGAGGCCACTCACTCCCACTTCCCTTCACCTTCCAGGCTGCTAGTCATCACTCAGAATTATGTCTAGTCACCATTTCTTTAAAAAGTGTCCCAGACTATATCCCAAAATATGATGGAACAGTGTTGTATCTTCTTTCTGCAGGTTAATCATAGCATAATACCTACTTAGTTTCGAGGAGAGAGCTGTGTGCTCATTGTGGTATCCTCAGCATTTAGCCATGGCTGAGACTCTGTAGACCTTCAGTAACCAGTGACTTATGTGGAGTGAGGACCATAGCTGTGCCCTTTGGCAATCAGCCGGTTTTCACAGATAGTTGAGAGAACAATTTCCAGGTCCTCGGCATTGGTCATAGGGTGATGATCAGTGGTTTGATCATCCAGTCTCCACCTTGAGAATTCTTCGCTGGTCACTTAGTTCAGCTGGAAATTAATGTGGAGGAAAATGGAAGGGAATAATGAGTTGAATTCCATTTCATCCTCTTGGTTATTTTGGAAAAAAAGGAAAGATGCTTTCAGTAAAAGGGTCAAAATTATTAGTTATATTGCTTACGTTTATTTATCAATACAGACCCATAAGTCAATACAACTTATCATTGAAAGGTGATGCTGGGACCAAATTATTGAGTCTTTTTTCAATGTTCAATATAGGAAAAAATGTGTATGAACTCAAGAAATATTTTTCTAGGGAAATGTTTTATACTCAAAAAAAGCACATTGAGTCTCCATACTCAGAGTTTAAGAAGGTGGACAGTATTTGGAAATATGTAGTTCAGCCCTTTATTTGGAAAATCAAGAAAATTAAGGCTCTAAGTGTGGCATATCAAAGTTTAGACAGAAAAAGGTAAA